ATTCGATTTTTGTGTGATATTTCGAAGGGAGATCATCACAAAAATTAGCCAATGAAATCAAATGTCCACTATGCTGTACAATAATCATTGTATTACATGAAATTTTTTTTGAAAATCTACCTTAGTTTTATAGTATATGACCAGAAAATTTTTTAATAAATTTACCTCAAAAAAACATATGAGATTAAAATTTTTTATCCCTTTTTACATATGACCTTTTTTATTTTTACCTATGATTTACCTATGACCTACCTTTTAAAAAGACAGTTTTTTACCCACTTTTTTGCATATGACATCAATTATGATTATCCGTGGTCCTGCAGGATTTGTGCAGAAAATTCGTGTAACAAATCGAAAAAAATTATATTAATATACAGTGGGTGACAGCAAAAGCCATAAACTATTATTGGCTTACCAAAAATGGTATTTAATCCTCAGGGGTAGTGGTTGTATCCATTGATTATCCAGGTATTTGAGCAATTAGTCAATCAATAAAACTCAACATCTGGATAATTGGCCAGTCAATAGAATTCAACACCTGGATAATTGGTCATTCACTGAATATCTGCTGAATATCCACTGAATATCCGTTAAATATTAAATTTATTTAAAAAAAAATTTTTTTTATTCATCAGGAAAAATATAATAAATTTTTATTCATCAAGATCAAGAAAAATATTTTCAACACACACATTGCATATTTTTTTTAAGAAATACAATTCTTTCAAATAATAATGGGTTCAATTTTGTTTGTTTGGCTGTCATTAAAGAATGTAATAGTGATAAAATATTATTTACATTAATTATGTGGATAAAATTTTATTATCATGTAGTTATCCACAAAAAATATCCGCAATCGCCAAATTGATTTCTAAATAAGGATAACACGCACCCAACCCACCAATAAAAATTGGATATTTGAGGTTTCACGAAATTTGCGGATATTTTTTGTGGATAACTACAGTCCCTTGAAAAAAGTATCGCTTCACCTGATGATCGACGAAAATAATTGGATAACTTCTGTGATATAAAAAGT